AGGAATATATCCTAAGAAGCCAAAAGCACCAATCAGAAAGAATATATGCAGCCCTATGTTCATAGCAGTGCTAAAAAACTGTCATACATTTACACAAATGGAATACTATACAGCTGTAAAAAGGAGGATCTCTTACCATTTGAGATAGCATGGAAGGACCTGAAGAGTATTATGCTAAATGAAATAAGCCAGTCAGAAAAAGACAAGTATCACATGATCTCACTCATATGTGGAATTGAATGAACACAATAAACTGATTAATGAAAAACATCCAGAGACATTGAAGCATGCCACAGAATGAGGTATTTGAGAGGGAAGGGGGGAGGGCTGGAAGAGATTAACCAAAGAATTGTTATGCATATATGCATAGCCCATGGACAAACAATAGTGTGGGGAAGATCTGGGGAGAGGCTGGAACAAGGTAAAGGGGGTCAATGGGAGGTGGAGAAAGGGAACATCTGTAAAACTTTCAACAATAAAGATATATTTGAAAAAAAATTAAAAAGTATACATTCTTCTTTAATACACAAGAAGTTATGAAAGATGGCAAATCTTCTCATCAGGTTCTCCCACATATTGTGGTAGGAACAGAATTGATTTTCTATGGTCTTCCAAAAGTCAATGCTTTGTACACAGTAAAATCAGTCATTGCCTTACCTGGAGGGACGTCTGAGTTTGAGTGGTCCGGTTAATGATATCCCCATTCGTTTGACCTAGCTGGTTTCTAGTAATTAGTGCATCCTGAGTTCGCACTGGTTCTATCAGTGAATTGTATCTAAACAAATCAGTAGTTTCTGTAACGTTTTCAGAAGGAGCTTGAATTGCAACAGCGCCACCAACCAAATCCTGACTACTGTTTGAATCCAAGGATTCATTTTCTGGATTGAGAGAATAAATATCTTCTCCAGTGAGTTCAGGATGAGAATCACAAAAGGAGATATCATCACCATAAATGGGATTTTGCATCAGAGGCCAGGCGTCCGAAAACTCGCCACAGATGAACTGAGAAAGGGACCCGAAGAAAGACGGCATGGTCTCTCCCACCGGACCTGCATTTCTGAACACATGTTCAAAAGACTTTTAAGTGTTCTATAGGGAGAAAAACTACGACTACAAAGCAACATTCCAACAATACTTTCAAGCTTTCTAGATGAAATAGCAATTTATTGTCAGAATTCCAGTTGTTATAAACTTGCTTTAATACAATAAGCTTAATTCCTCCAATTACTTTAAAATTGAATATACTTCGTTTTAATCAATGTAGTTATACTTAATACAATGTCTAAAATATGCAGTTTCCTGGGTCTTAACTAAGTTTGAAGGCTGTTCTAAAATTCTATGAGTACATGACATGTTAAAAATTACTAGCAGATGGCAGAAGTGTCACAAATAATGAGTATAAGACAAAAATAAAATTGAGGGGCCCTAGCTGGTTTGGCTCAGTGGATAGAGCGTCAGCCTGTGGACTGAATGGTCCCAGGTTCGATTCCAGTCAAAGGCACATGCCAGGAGTTGCAGGCTCAATCTCCAGTAAGGGGCGTGCAGGAGGCAGCTGATCAATGATTCTTATCATTGATGTTTCTATCTCTCCCTCTCCCTTCCTCTCTGAAATCAATAAAAATATATTTTAAAAAAATAAAATAAAATTGAGGGTAAAGTATAAAAAATGTTGTATTGGATATTAGTAACCCTGAGAGACTTACCTAATTCGTGCCAAACACATGCCCCCTCCAATGACCAGAATGGCATTAATGATATTAAAAAGTGATGCCCTCATGAAACATTTTTAAATGTTTCACATGAAAATTGGTAAATGAATGTAATGCATATTTGCACAAGGATTATGAAATTATATTGCTTAAAAAATACCCAGTTACCTCTCCTGAAGTGTGGCCTGGGAATGCACCCTGCAACCAAGAGTCACCTGGTCGATGCTGCAGGAGTCATCACAGCACAAGGATGGGATCAAGTGAACAGGCCCTAGGAAAGACAGCAGAGGTATGAAGCATAATGCTTTTACTGGGAATGTTCTCTTTAATACCAGTACAACATCGTTCTTGAAACTTGAACTATTCCCCTTTGGGTAACTTTTTGGGGAACGGGAATATGAGTCTTAATTTTTTACTCTGTTTTTATCTTTTTAAAAAAAATGATGAACCATTTATATTATATACCTAGAGTAGTCAAATTCATAGAGACAAAGTAGAATGGTGGTTGCCAGGGGCTGGGGGAGGTGAATGGGAAGTTAGTGTATGATGGATACAGTTTCAGTTTGGAAAAATGGGAAAGTTCTGGAAATGGATAGGTGGTGATGGTTGCACAATAATGTGAATGTACTTAATCCACTGAACTGTACACTTAAATTTATTGAAGAAAAGGCAGAGGCACCAAGTACAGAGCCCAACCCAGCAGGCTGCAGATTTTGGCTCCTCGCATCCGGGAGGGACGCACTCGGGGGGCAGAGTCGGGTTCGGGGCAGGCCGGGGCCAGGCCCGGCTGGGCTGGTAATGTGAAACCGCTGTACCAGCAGGCGTACAAGCATGCCCACCAGTTCCAGTCTCGTGTGGGATGCTGGGGGACGGCAGACGGGGAGTCTGTGCACTTGGTGGAGGGCGAAGTCCGAGCAGGCGTACTGGATGTTCAGCCACCAGGAAAGCCTGGAGATTTTGTCTGGTGGGGAGCCGCCCAGCTGTGGACAGAGTGCCAAACTTCGTGTTTCCCCAGTGAGGCTGGGATGGCCCCAATAAGGTCGGGGTGGCCCCAGGGAGGCCGATACAGCTCCAGTGAGGTCGAGACAGCCATAGTGAGGTCGGAATGGCCCCGGTGAGGCCAAAACGGCCCCAGTGAAGCCGGGACAGCCCCAGTGAGGTCGACACTGCCCTGGTGAGGTCGAGACTACCCCATGAGGTTAAAACGGCCCCGGTGAGGTCGGGACAGCCCCGGTGAGGTTGATACGGCCCCAGTGAGGTTGGGAAGGCCCCGGTGAGTTTGGGAAGGCCCTGGTGAGGTTGAAACGGCCCCGGTGAGGTTGGGACGGCCCCAGTGAGGTTGAAACGGCCCCGGTGAAGTCAGAATGGCCCCAGGGAGGTTGAAACAGCTCCAGTGATGCTGAGAGGGCCCCGGTAAGGTTGGGATGGCCCCAGTGAGGTTGAAATGGCCCTCGTGAGGCCGAAACAGCCCTGGTGAGGTTGAGATGGCCCCGGTGAGGCCGAAACGACCCTGGCAATGTATGGCACCGGCAAGGTCGAGACGGCCCCGGTGATGTCGGGACAGCCCCAGTGAGGTGGAAACGGCCCCGGTGAGGTAGGGATGGCCCCAGTGAGGTCAAGACGGCCCTGGTGAGGATGAAACGGCCCCAGTGCGGTTGGGATGGCTCCAGTGAGGTTGGGACAGATAATGGGGACCAGTATAGACTGATGAACAGGGGTAGATGCAGAGGCAGAGCAGCATTGGACAGACTGTCAAACTACAGTGGGAAGCCTGGGGAGGGTTTGAGAGGGGGCGTTAAGAGATCAACTGAAGGACTTATATGCATGCATATGAGAATAACCAATGGACACAAGACACTAGGGGGTAGGGGCCAGGGAAATGTCAATGGGAGGGGAAAAGGAGACATATGTAATACTCTTTGTAATACTTCAAGAAATAAACAATTATTTAAGATAAAAAAAGAGAGATTAGTTAAATTAAAAAAAAATCTTCCTTAGCCTTATAAACTAGAAAAAAACACTGTCAATATTTGGTTAACAGCTAGACTTTTCTCTCTATATATACACATATAATTCTAATTTTATAAAACCATAAACATACTAAAGCCTACAGGCAAATACAAAGACACACATATATAGAGAGAAAAAGACTTGAAGTAATTATATATTTACATGTACATATATGTTTATGTATATTCAAACTTAACATGAGGATTATCTCTTTACTTTTATAAACAGGAGAATAATATGAAACTAATATTTCCCTTTTGAAAATATATTGAGATACAATTGCAAACCAGTGTTAAGCAGGACAGACACCCAACATACTTTCACCTGAATCTCAAACAGGCCACACCTTGTGCTGTCTGAATACATGTTATTATGATCATGAAGAACTCACTTGGATTCACTACCAATTAACTCAACAAACATGTGTCATGCTCACTGTGGAATTTCTCAAAATTATTTAAAAGCAAAAGGCACTCCCATTCCTTATAGAAATGGCTGGTTCTAGGACTCAATCAGGGAAAGTATAAGATGAGCATGAAACAGCCTGAAGGGATTTCCACTTGTCAAATCTAGGAAAATTTGAGCATCAAAATAAATGATTACAAAGGATTGTAACCCATTGAATGGGGTCCATTAGTCCACACTAATTAAAGTAAATAAATGGGAAGGAGGGAAGTTCTTTCTGACCATAGGATGCCAACTAATAAATGTAGAAAGAATGATGCAATTAGAAAACCAGCAATTGTTAACCATTATACTAATGACTGACTCAGGTAAGAATCATCAGAGAATGCTAAACTACTGGGCCAACGTTTGAAATCAATAGGATGTTTACATAATCTCAAATAATCTCCAACGAAGTTTCATTAATTACCAAAAACAATGATCATTTTGTAGCAGAGAAAGCTTGCAGACACCACTTTAACAAAGTGACCCTAGTTAATTTGACTGAAATGAGACAGATGTACCTCCTGATATGGGGCACTGAGAAATACACAATATCACCTCTGTGGTATTTCTGAATCTGATCATAAAAAAAAAAATGAGAAAACCCAAACTGAGGGTCATTCTACAAAATTATTGGCCTGCTTTTGTCAAAAATATTGTCATAAAATGCAAGGGAAGATTAAAGAAATATTCCAGATTAAATGAGAGTAAATAGACAGGACAAGTAAATAAGTGTTATCTGGGATTTTCTTTTGCTACATAGGACATTATTGAGACAATTAGGAAAATCTGAATATATTCTGTAGATTATTTAATAGCAATAGATTTAATGTTACTTTCCTGATTTAATAAGCATGCTTTATGTAAGAGAATGTCCTTGTTCTTAGAAAACAAACACCAAAGTAATAAAGGGTAAAGGGACATTATATCTGCAAATGATTTTTAAATGGCAAGTGAAAAAATTGTGTATATATATATGTGTATATATACATATGCAAAAATGTGTGTGTGTGTATGCAAAATATACAAAACAGCCCTGACCGGTTTGGCTCAGTGGATAGAGCGTCGGCCTTCGGACTGGAAGGTCCCAGGTTCGATTCTGGTCAAGGGCATGTACCTTGGTTGTGGGCAAATCCCCAGTAGGGGGTGTGCAGGAGGCAGCTGATCGATGTTTCTGACTCTCTATCCCTCTCCCTTCCTCTCTGTTAAAAAAAATCAATAAAATATATTTTTAAAAAATATACAAAACATGTATGAATATATATACACGTACACATAGCACTTAAGAGAAAGAGAGATAAAAATCATAAAGTAAATATCAGATGAGATAAATGTTAATACTTAGGGAATCTGAGTGAAAGGTATGGGGGAATTTTTTTCCTAGTCTTTCAACATTTTTGTAAGTTTAAAAACATGTTAAAATAAAAAGTTAAAAGAAAAAAGCACATTATTAAGGAGGAAGTGATTTAAATGGAAAACTGTACTGAACCTAGGCATTAGCATGGGGGGATTAAGCTTAGCATTCTAAGAGGACATGAAACAAGGCTATCTATATATTTAATCTTTCTTTTCAGACAGAAGTTTAGGTGAGGCAGAGTTTGTACAATGCTGTATTTTATTATATTTAAAATTTGAATTTCTATCTTACGAAATTATCCCTCACTCTGATTCTGTGTCAATGTCATGGTACAGTATCTAGGAAACAATGCTTGGGGCATTTTGAGGATCCAGTAGCTATTGGTAGCTAAGAGTCTATTATCAGTGTAGGCAGAGGCAAAAATAGATCCCCACACACCACAAAGTCTTACATTTCATTCTTAAATATATTCCTAAAATAGAATATAGTTATGATCAGTAGAAAAATAATTATGTTGAAAACTCCTTATGCCACATATGAGATATTAGATCTAAAAGCTCAATCCTGCAATTTCTTGAAAAGAAAAATTAAACAGTGCCAAGAGAATAAGTCAATCTCATCAGGATACATTTCACTTAAAGAATGAGACAAAAGTTGATGTTAGTATTGCTTCAAAGGTGCTAAGAGAATTGGGAAGTGAGGAGAGAGGAGGGAGGCAGGGCAGGTTTCTAGAAAGGGTTGCTTGCCACGTCAAATTTTACTTTGCAGAGGAGATAAGGTCATTATAGTGGGGATAGGAGTGGGGAGTGTAAGTGTAGAAACCTTGTGTTAATGAATAAAAATAAGTGGTGAAGAAAGTTGGTACTACCTTTGCCCATTTTGCCCACATCAGAAACCAATTCCCATTTGAATTATTTCCCTGAAATTTCATTTCTGTCAATAAACTAACAGGCAGGGAGAGAAACTAAGATGGCGGCAGAGATAAACACCAGGAAATTGATGCCGCTCACAACAATTGATTAATACCTCAGAAAAACAATACGGACATCATCCAGAACCACAGGAAGCCTGGCTGACTGTAAATTCTACAACTAGAAGGAAAGAAAAGCACACTGAGAGCCAGAGAAGCTGCAGAAGAGAAGCGCAGAGGTAGGGGGCTCGCGCGCGTGGAAAGGGGCTGGCACCTGAGGACGCGGCTGTCATTTTGAATCCAGAGGGCGTCACAAGCTCCTGATGGCTCTGATCTCCGGTTCCGGGAAGTCTCTGGGGACCCAGGACTCATATGGGGAGAAACTGGACTGTCTGGCAGCGGGCGATCTTGAGGGCAGCTTTCCCTCAGAGATGCTTGCAGCCGTTACCGGGACACTGAGACGCGCGTCTCCTTAGGGCAGGGCTGAGGCCCCGCCATGGCTGCTTGCTCCGCCCGTTGATTCCCTGAGACCTCGCCCACCCAGGCTGCCGCAGAGGCTTTTGCATATGAATGCCCCGGCCATTTGCAACCTGTAATTAACCTAAC